GAAACAAACACATGACAAATGTTCTTGTTAATGTAAAGTGTTTTAGCTGATGGCATGATGCTTTTGTAAGACCCTGACCATGCTGACCCATCAATTCCAAACATGTACATAAAAACAAACACCTCCAGCTTGCCTAATTTTTGAAGTATAAAGCAAGCTGAATTAGCTTCTCACTCTGTATTTACAATAACATACTTGATTGGCAGTCAATAATGTTTAACAACAACCTGAGAGCTACCGGTATCTAGGTAGTCTGTTTTATCATCGAGTGGAAATACTCGAGTGTTACACAATTTCATTTTGTATAATACTTATAATAACACTCTAAAAACATCAACTTTTCATGTTTTCTTTCACCCACCGTAGGCGATTTAGGATTAATAGAACATACCAGGTACATGTACCCTAAATAAAAAAGTAGTATTTATATTCAATCAAAGACCAGCACATCTTTAAGATGACCAAATAGCCCCATATAAAATGGTCAACGTTCAACTTTCTGACCACTCAAACACAAACCCCAAATTGTAATGTTACAATTATAGCAGCATTTTAATTTCAATACTGGCCCTATCACTATGCCAACTGGGCTCCCAAACCGCAGTATGGGGTTACGCCATCTCCAGTTACCAAGGTAATAATTACCTAGGCAACACCCTGATGTGAGGTTTTTCCAAGGATCAGGCGCCTCCTTTAATGAAATACTCCAAACTACCAAGAACCATCATTCACCACTGTTAAAACACTAGAAACACAACAAGTACCATGAACCAGCTTCAGAATATCTTTCTGGAATATCTTTGCAGATTTTTCCTTTATGTTCCAAAATGCCTGATCAATGACACTGATTGGCAGTCTCTCCTCAATGGTCGACACAGAGTACACATTGTACTTATCTGCTGCTAACGACCCCTCTGTTTTTAACAACTTCTGGAATCCAGAAAGTCAAATTCTCCTGAGATGAACCTTTCTTGTAACTGATCAGCTTTGACAATTCTGCAGCACCAGAAATCAATTGTATCTTCAATGACAAACTCTTCTGGTAATCATCAAGACCAGTAACAATGATTACGAACAGCAATCCACCTTCTCCACAATCAATACATTTTATCTGCTATTGGTCAGTCCACTGTTGACTTCTAGCTGTTGTGACATTCTGCTACTTTTCATCATTAGTAATGATTCAGTACGAATGATTATTATTTCATATTGTCGATGGTACAAATATTTTCATCATCAATGTCTATGAGCTGTGATACATTGTGTATTTCAAAATGATGACGTAATTTGTCCATTAATTAACTCGAGGAACTAAACCCTCGTTTTGTTGATCAGTCACAATCACATTTCAATCCTGTTCCTCTGCATGGCATTTATGCAGGCTAGTCACAAACAATCAGTTCACTATCTCAGTACAGGCACTGACAGTCAAATTCCATCAACAGACAAAATCAGGTAAATGAATAGGCACAGCTGGCTGATCAATCTCCTGCAGTCAAAGCATACATGTAGCTGTATCAGGTTTCATAACAATCACAACCTGTCAATCCTGCTTTGTAGCAGGGAGCACTCAACTGCTAAAACCAGTCACTTGATTTCTTTTGACTGCTGGGCTGGCTTTGTTGAGATTGCCAGCCACAGAGGGAAGGTCAACAACTCATCAGATTCCTCCAGCAATTACACATCTGCGGCTACAAACATCAACCATCAACGTCTCATCAATGCTGATGTATCAAACAGTGTTCCACTGCCATGAACTATATCAGCTTCTTTCTTATGGCACTGGTTTCCATGATCAGTGAATATTCAAAAGTGTGATTCCAAAGCAATGCTCTCCACAAACCATCACCCTCATCACTGGTCAATTTATGATCAGTTCAATTGAAATTCAATTATCCTCCTCTTTATCAGTTACCAATCACTGCTTTTCTACAACTGATCAATTTTTCTAATCATTGCTCAACAATGATCTTTATCTGTAATTATTCAATAATTAATTTTATTTGCAAATTTTGCAATGGTGACTGCTCACTAAAAGCCATGACTCCCTAGCATAATTTACTAGGAAATATACACATCCTGGAAAATTCCAAATCCATGTTGGAAACTGCATACACATATTTCTGACTTTGATTTTAGAGGTGTGCCGACCCAATGTAAAAGACTGTCAGTTTAGGGGTACTGTACCCATCCTGACAGATTCCAACTAAACATGTCGTTGGGGTTTGATGGGTTGAGTCTTGTGACAGTTAACTCACCAATCACATATTAAATTAGGGCAAAAATGTTGTCAGTGAAACATTCTCAGTGACAACACTTTATCCTTTTCTCCGTAACTGACTGACATAAGCAATTACCGGTACTTTGTCACCAACACTGACTAATTTCCTCTAACTAAATTAAGAAAAGTGGAAACCTTATCTTACTTGATTAACATCAACTTGCACGGCAACTGTATTTATAATGAAATATATCATCTTTGACTCAAACACAATACCCTTCTCCATCATTGATCAACTCTTCCAATCATAGAGACCAACTTTTGTAATTAGTGATTAACTTAAGGCCAAGTTCGGGCAAGGACCATTAGTCGACTAGTGGTTGATTTGTGACGTACATGTACCTTACGCCTGCGCACTGATAGCAACGTGCAAACGTCTTTAGTCAAATGCTGGTCAAAATGTCATCGCAAAACTTCTGGATCCTAGCTCTCTGCTAGCGTTATGAATGTTGAGTTAAAATGAACTGTCTGTGCTCTCAATAAAATTCTTCTTTTTTTCCTGACAAATTGTGATCTTTTAAGGTTTTAAATGGAAAACAGTTTCCCCTTACTTTGGTCTCTGCAACCCAATGAAAAGAAAATTGTTATATAGGATTTCAGGTTGCTTTCGCACACAAATTAAGACATGTATGTAATTGTCCTGCAATTACATACATGTACATTATCAATGATAGTAAGGAGGAGGTGGGGCAAGATCCAGTTTGTGTGTGTAATGTGAGCACTAAATTATTTTGGAATGCAAATGAGTAATCAAATTGTGAATTAATTATTCCATACCTAAACACGTGCCTATATTTTGATCAATATCTCATCCAGAACTAAATAACCTTAATATTGCTAGAAAACAGTAGCAATTTCCAATAAAATCTATTTTGGGCTGACTGTGTAGAGCCCGGTTCATACTTCACGCAAAAGCATACTGCGACGCGAAATTCATGTCGTCAACAATGGTGGACACACTTCGAATGTATTGTTGACGGCATGAATTTTCGCTTCGCTTTCGCTTTTGCTTTCGCGAGAAGTATACCGGGCTTAGCACAGATAGTTCATCTTCAATTTAAAAAATTCCAAAATAAGAACACTCTAGATTAAAATAATATTTGATGATGGACCAAATTGAGTAAATAAAGTCTTCTGCAAAACCAATTTGAAAACAAAATCCCAAAATGAAACCTTCAGAGACATATTGAGGGGAATGACAATAAGTTCAAATAATGTGAAGGTTTGAAACAAACCTTTGAATTGAAAAAAAAAAAATCAAGTTCTTTCTAAAATGGAAAATACACATCCTGCACAGATATTCTTCAGAGTGCATGTTAACAAACACTTGAATGCAATTGTTTTCACTCTTGCTGGAATAAGCCAATTCGACATCTCGTATGAGCAATGAGTGAACACTGCAATGCTTGGATAAACAAACCCATGTGATGCTGTAAGCTTACTATCTATTGGTCAAGGACCCCATGATGTGTTTGTTCATCCAAAAATTGTATTGTTCATGAGAGTTTGCACATGCCCCAGTGAAATATCGAATTGGATTATTGTTTGTGGCAATGCCACCATATTTAGGAATGATTTTTGGCCATTGCTATTTGTAACACTCCTGACATTGTTAGGTTTAGAGACAATAGAGAGCTTATTTGAACTAATTGTCTAATTACGCTTCATGATAATTGATGTCTGGAGATCGAGAAGTTTTTTGCACAAAAAAAAATTAAGTTGCATTCCCCATGCTCTTCAATAAATTCTATTTATTTTCCTATTTTTTTTAATTTTTAAAATTTATTCCAACGAGAACAGAATTACATGTATTGACCGGCCACAAGGTACATGTAATTCTAAATTTTACATGGTAAAAAAATCTACAAAAAAGGAATCTACCGGTATTTGGAAGATAAAATTCAAAATAGCAAGGGGGATGCAACTGCAATGTTGGATCAAAATTTAAAATGAAAAAAATAGAAAGTATTCTCTCAATTTAACACAGCAAAGAAAAAAAATAGAAGTTCCACTTAATTCCATGAATGATACCAATTGATGGAACCAATAGGGGCCTAGTATGTGTATGAAGCTGTGCCAACTGACAAGGAAACACTTCTTCAAGCTGAGTTATCACAAAGTATCACTAAACTAAACTAAATATTGATGCAAGTCCAATCAGTAACTAACTACAAGTCACGACAGCAGCAGTCTTCAAAGCTTTGATTAATCCACATGTTTGTGTGATTTATGCGTATGTCAATAAAGCTTGCTTAATTTAATCAGTATGACAACGTGTAGATTCGTTTACTTTGCCTCAAATTTCACAAACGTTGCAGGACACAACATTTAAATGATAACTTCTGACATGGTTGATCAATCTGTATCTCCCTAAATTGACCTACATGTATCACCGTCTGCGAGTTTTTCCACGCCCCTAATTAGACAACCCTATTGAATAGTGTGCATTAAGTTTTGTTTGTCTCAGATTTTGCACGTTCCGCATCCATTTGTTTGAAAATATTTCACAAGCTGCGTTGCCGACAAGATTCTACCACGATAGGTTAATTGCCTGTCAATTTTCAAAAACAATTTTTCTTTATCATATAAAGAGTTTGAATCGCAAAAGAAGACTTTTGTTGAAAATGGCATGTTGAATTGAAATATTATTTTCCGGGGGGGGGGGGGGGAGGAGGGGCCAAACAGGAGGAGAAATAATTAGTGATAAGACAGTAATTGCAAAGTCTAGGAATATAAGGTGTGCCCCTATTAACTTTAGATTTTAAAACAATGCCTCCATCTTTATATAGAAACTTATTGTTCTCATGGTTCTTTTACTCTGCTTTAGATGGACATAAAAGTTACTGAAATGAATTGAAACAAGATCAGACAAGAATGGAGGCAAAAAGCCTAAGAAAGATGGAGTAAAGAGATGAATAAAGAATAAATACTGAGGGCAGAGTACCAAAGAAATGGTTGCCCAAAAGGAAGGGAGGGGTTGACTCTCAGAGATGGCTAGCAAACAGCTTACATGACCAGGTCTACCACAATATGAACGACCACTGACATTCAGTAATAAAAATTGTGTGCACAAGACCGACAAACTACGCGAACGCCCCTAGCATCTTTAATATACATTTGTATTTAAGTAGTCTTCGAAAAATTATGACCTATTAATGATTGCACTTAAATGGCTTCCAATACCTTCTGAGAGCACCCCAAAGACATCCTTTGGTTTGAAAAATAAATAAGTGCAAAGTTTTGCACAGAAACACAGGTGTATGTACTTTGCATGTGATAAAAGTTGAGCTTTTGGTTGTGTTGCAATTAGATGTAAGATGAAAAAGAACTACAGTTTAGCAGAGGAGATACAGGCAGAGGAATTGCACTGTAAGACACTGAGATTCAGCTTCACATAGCTTGATTTTGGTTTCAGTTTTGATGTTTCTTTTGGCTTAAATGCAGAGCTGTGGTTGTTGCATTGCAATAGCAAACTGATGGTTAAGTTGGCGAGAAAAATGGGTGTAACATAGAGAATGAGGAATTTAGGAAATTTGGGGGTATTTAGAAAGGAAGCCAAAATTTAGCCATAGATTGAAAGGAAAAGCAACACATATTGAACTTATTGTCAGCTACATGTTATCCTGATCCAGACTGGCACCTACAATTCACTAACATAACAGCATGGCTTTCTCAAATTTATCATCAATCTCAATCATTTGCAGAAACAAGAAACATTTTCACTTCATTATCTGTCACCAAATTATTATCAATATTAAAGTTAATAGTTAAGACAGTTTTGTTTCCTTGACTAAAATCTTCAACCTTCAGGTAGCTCAGAGATTTAAAGTGTCTTAACTTTTCCATCAATGATTTAAGAATGTTTAGGCAGAATGTTGCAACTTAATGCCACTTTTTCCTCATATCACTAAAGGTCATTCATTGCAAACATGTTGAAAAGACGTGAATCTGGGACTGTGAAATGTTTCCAATTTTGTTAGGAAATACTTAGTTTGGCTAACTACATTCCTCCCGAATGTTGAAATGTTGTTCTCAACATCAAAGACCGAACCGTTGGGATAAAATGGCATTTGCAGCAACAGAAACTACATTTTCGCATGCTCAGAAAAAAAAATCTATTCACATATTTCAGTTTTCAGAACCAGATATTATCAGGTTAATAAAGTCATAATTTTTTACGACAAAATGAAATCAATATGAAAATGAAACAAATGAAAATTAATCTTTTCTAGCAACCAAAGATATAGAGTATGTGTGTACAATTTGCTATGGAAAATTTTAAAACTAATAAAGCAACAACTAAAAAAGGCATAAAGGATCATTTGCTATTCATGCATTTTCTTTGTTTCCAACAATAACATCAACACAATCAAAAGAAGAGTGTTCAAAACCTAATCAGTTGAACTTTCAGCTCTGTAATTATTTCACATTTCAAGAAAACAGTAAAGCAGGACCTTTTGATCACTACACACTATTTTGTCAATAGCAATCTTTATTCCCCAAAAAACAGTCAAATGGCTGATTGTTGGAAAGCACCTTCATTTCTGGATTGCATTTGAAATGACAGCATGCCAGATAGAATTTACGGGTCGTTTACATGTAGTACCAGTACTATCCTTAATCCAAGTAAGCAATTTAAATATATTGTGTTAGGTTGATTGAGGGTCAAATGCAAAATGATCCTGTATGTCTTTAAATAAAAAACTTTTCAATTCATAACTGTATTTTTCACTTCAATCTCTCCTATGAAAACCTGCTCCATCATATTAACAACATGTGCACCGGACTGCAAGAGCTTTGCGACAATTCCATCTGCTTGCAAACCGCTATGAAAGTCACTGGACACTTACATGTACTGCAAATAATTAGGTTTCTCTTTGACAGTTCACACAAATGAAATTTCTTGATTTGATGTATATCAAATCACACAGCAATCTTTCAAGAAGGGAAACTTTCAATTCCTGTCTTTCAGAAATGACTGTCATGACCATTGCTTAGAAATTATTCTCATTTCTCTTTCTTCTTCAAATTACAATGTATTTTCCATGATGCTGTCATGAAAAGTATCAAATTTCTTTCAATCAGAACATTGAGGACAAACTCCAATTCACAAGAATAAATGAGAGAATTATGGTCATTTACAAAGGAGGTTGTTTGGTGCACATTGTGATGAGTTTTGATGGAGCAGGTTGCATTCTTGGTTTGACTCACCCTTAAGGTCATCCCAGTCACCATGGTGATGGTCATCCAGCCTGTCCTGCCTAGTCTAGGCACTGGTCTGGTCCAATCCAGCCTCAGCATGGTTTGCAAAGATCAGTCTCTTCTGAGGACAGATTTCAAAACCAACAGTCAAACCTCAATTCTCTAATTTCACTTTCAATTCCATTTCCCAGTCAGCAATGAAAAGAAAAATCAGAAATTTAAATAGAAATTGTGATTTGTCCTTAATTAGATCAACAGGGAAAGTTCAACGGGAAATGCAGACTCCAGTCTAACAGGATTTCATCTCAAAAATTCCATTTGTGGACAATATACACGTGTAGTAACACATCTTATAATAAAAAGGAAGATAATGATTCTTCGTTCCAATTGGTTTTTTTATTTTTTGTTTTATTGATAAAAGTAGACTACAAAGAATTCACGAGACACTTACCAATTTGGAGCACTCGATCATCCTGAGAGAAGCCAGAAAAGATGTGATGATGACCTCAGGATGGTGCCTCATCCCTCACAGACAGGTGCGGTCATGGCGGATGATTTTTAAAAGAGCCGTCTCATTCTCACCAGGTTCGATCATCAACTTCAAGCACTACGCTGGTCCTGGTCCGCAATGAATCCTTGATGAGTCATTGTTCGTGATGAGGCCTCTGTTCTTGGAGTCAAAATCCTTAGGAGAGATGATTATTTTGCAGGCTTTTTGCAGTGCAACACAATGCCACTCGCCAGGCTGGTGGAAAACTCAATAACACTCACTTGGCACGTGTACCGTACTGGATCAGCGCGTGTAAGGGGGTATTTGTTCACTATTGTGCGATACATACAGGGTGAGTCAGAAAGAAATTACCTAAATTAATGATTTTGTAGTATTTTTAGGAACAAAAGAATTTAAAAATATGTCTGAAAAGAACATCTTCCACTCATTTCAAACAAAAGTAACTTGTGATTGATCGATGCTACTTGGAGGAATGAATGTTTTGCAGAAAGAACCCATTTTTATGAGTGTCGATGGAATGCAATATTAGAAGCTATCAAGCTGCTGGGCTTGTATCAGTGGCTGGGGGGGGGGGGTATGCTTTGATCATAACTAAAGCAACTGAGTGAGAAGCCCTAATAGCGTGGGGTCACAGAAGGTGTCTGGGAAATCTTGGATTTTAGATGCTCAGTGGTGAAGTCTGAGGCAATTTCTAACCACTTCAATGTTTTGAGCACAAAAAAAATCATATTTTAAACATTTTCGAGTTTGAAGTCACTGAATCGGCTAATCTGAACTATAAATAAAGCTAGAGTATTTTTTTTTTCAAGAGTATTTCCAATTTTGGAAACTTTCTTTTGACTTGACTAGGAAATTGCATAATGCAACATGACGTTATCATCATGACCTCAATTATAAAAACTTAATGGAGATTAATGAATTTTCCAGTGTAATAGCATCCCCTATTTGACAGCTTTAGTTCAGGAAATTTCCCTTTAACAGGAAAGCTTCCCTTAACAGGATCACCACCGGGAAGGTAGCTGTCATGATCCCATGTTAGTAGAGAGAGGAAGAGGGAGGGGGGGGGGGCAGAAATAAGACGGTGCGTGCGAGAGATGGAGAGGGAGGAAAAGAGAGGAAGGAGAAACCAGGGAAGAGGAAAGGTAGAGAGAAATGTAACGGTGCGTGCAAGTGACAGAAGGAAAGAGTAGGTGTAGAGAGGAGGGGAAAGAGGATGGAGGAAGAAAGGTAGCCATGGACCAGTGCGTGCAAATGATGATAGACAGGGGATGGAGGAGGGGATGGAGGGAGGGGAGGGGGGTAGGTGGAAGGAAGGGAGGAGGTATGGGGAAGGAATGTACGGTGATGAGCCAGTCAGGAATCACCAAGGGGAGTAAGGGAAAGTCTTGTCTCAACTGTGGCTGCAGTGCAATGACTAGCTCCAGCGTTTCACAGGTGAGAGGCAACTCAGCAAATTGAAGGTCCATAAACTCAAGCAATTGGGTACTACCTAAAAGTCACTGTAAGCTTATCAGATAGTCAGTTGGCTTGTGGTATAAATCAAGAGTACACAGTTGAATAGCCATTTTCCCCTACCTTTTGGTGGGTGGGGTTTCTATTGGAATGGCAAATTAACCAAAAGCACAGTCAAATCAAGACTTCTTGCAGAAATTAAAGCTAAACTAATTAAAGTTCAAATTACATGAAAGCCACAACTTTGGGCAAATTCCCTCTTTTGGGGGCGGGACACTAGTCATAATTAGGGGGTGGGGAAATTAGTCCAATTTAATTGTTCTACTTCCATATTTACACACCTTTAAAGTTTCTTCTGTTATTGACGTGATAATTTTTTTTTGTCTGTATAATTATTCTTGTGCATTTTACTTTTGAAAAGGAATTGTATAGACTTAGATTGTAAACTGCTGCAAGGATGCTTTTTAATGTTTTGTTTCAAGTTGAAATTTTCAGCTCAACATGTATTTTCAGTCGTGTCCCACCCGGCTGTCATAGGAAAGCGCACATGTAAACAAAGAGTGACAGGACTATCGCTCAAACATTTTACAGAAATGTTCTTGGTTTTAATTCAGTCCAGTTATTGTTGACTTTGAGTGCACACTAAATCTTAAACTTTCAAGTATTTACAGTAAGTATTCACATGGTAAGTTCACACAAGTTGAACTCATAAAACCTCAGCGATATTGCACCCTGATGGCCTTTTGACATCAACATGTTTCACATTTTCATTCGTGGCAAGTTTTCACACGGCATAACGCAACTCAACCAAACCAAGAAAAACCATATATCATTTAGTCAAATATTTGGAACTTCAGAAAAGAATGATTTCAATGAGAAAAAGTACATGTACATACTGTTGTGGTTGAAATGCACAAGATCTGCAAATTGTTTCAAGGACTCCTTGGGCAGATGAAGAGCAGACATCGGCACCTCCCGGCCGGAATGTGCGGACAGACAGCTGCACTCAGACACCCAACCTGATATCAAGATCAGAAAAATCAAACATTAGCACTTGTACTACATTGTATTACATGGTGTCTATTCTTATTGGATGGTCTGAACCCAGCGATGAATGTACCAAATTACAGATACCTTCACTCAGACACCCAACCTGGTATCAAGATCAGAGAAATCAAAAACACTAGCACATTAGCACATACATACTACACTGTATAAGCCTGTTATGTACTTTTGCAATTTTTTTGGGGGGGGGGGGGGCTCAAGAAGTCACACACGCAATCAATGGATCAGCAAAGAAAAGAAACATTTAATTGTGAGCGGTAAGTTTATCAGAATACTTGTGAAAATCAATTTGGTAACAAGTGAATAACACTGTGAGTAAATCTTGTAGTGTGGCCTTCATTAACAGAGCTGCTAGTTGGAGGGTACCATACATGTTGTAGTGCCAGCGCTCCACTCAGTAGAGCTAGGTGGCGCCCTGCATAAGCTGTTTCGTTGATACCGCCATCTTGCTTGAAATTGTGATTGCGCAATGGATCGGGGGGGGGGGGGCACACGTGACCCACACTGAAAATCCGTAACATGTTCTTTTTCATGAAAAGAACTCAATTTTGGATACAGAGTTTTAAAAACCCGATAAATGGGACATTAAGCTGTCCATAGGTGAAAAAAAACCCAGAACCGCTGCACCTTTCGTACCGTAATATCAGTACTATACTTCTTGACATACTCATGTAAGTTGCGCCCATAGAGCTATATTAAATTACTTGAGTGCTAACTTCGTGTATAAAGTAATGCCTGCTGGGCGCATCCATGTTTGTGCACAAACCTATGGAGACCTAGAAAGTTTGTACGGCTTTTATACGGCTATTTGCATATATCTGCGTTTGTATTCCATACCAGTGCGTTATCGAAGCCAATATGCCCAATTTGCTCAACGCAAACAGCGCAATGCGTGCACGTATTCGCTGCAGATGCTTTTTGCTGTCACATTTTTTTGAACCGTCAATGACACGCTTAAGTTGTTTGCGTATGTTCTACTTGCGCGTTGCATGTAGAGTACACTTTCAAAATTCAATCAATCTAATTTCATTATGTTCTACAAACACGCACATGAATTCAAAATGCCTGCACCCAGGAAGGCTTCAAAGAATCTCCGCGCGCAGAATGACTAGTTAGCGCTCTAGTAATTTAGAATAGCTCTATGGTTGCGCCTAACAAACATGGCTGGATTATGTCAGTTTTTAGACCAAAATGCTGAAAAATATGCCCTTTACGCACTGCGGCAACCTGACACGGAAAAATTCTGCCAACCGGACACCACTTTTTTCAATAAATTTTCTAGCGCCAAAAGTTACCTCTTTTATGGTTATTCCCTCCACTTTCCAACCTCTACTCTCACCCCCTCCTTTCCTTAATTTCTATTTATCAATCAGTCGCTCACTTCTTCGAGATTCGAACCTCGAACGCTTGCTTGATACACGAGTCTCTTAACCGCTAGGCCGCGCACGATCGCTGTTGCAATGATCAATCTTTGGACGTATTTGAAGTATCCATTGAAATAAACTAAATATTCATGAGAAAATAAATATTCATAATGACGTATTGCACTATAATTGGCCGGCTAATGCGACATCTCATGCGACGTCATGGTTATCGATGTCATGCGTACAACGTACCGCTGTTCCAGACACTTCAATCAGTTTTGACCGGCTGCTTCAACTCAGATCTGCACTACATGTGCATGCAAAATGTGCTCCAAAAACACATTTTTACCAATTTTTTTTCGCATGTCCACTCTTTCCTGGATTCCTCTTGGTTGAAATCACAAGGTGAGGTGAAAATTTGGATGTTTGGCGGCAGGTAAGTGGTGTCCGGTTGGCAGAATTTTTCCCCTGACACTTGCAGGTGCACCGCGGGGGTTACGGTACTTGCACTTGTACGCATGCGCATAATATCATTTTGCTTGTACCCCGCGGCGCGCGGAGGAGGGGGGGTATGGTTTTTCTATGCTAATTAGAGTCAGTTTGCTTCAAAAGCAAAAATAAACTACAAAACAAAGCCTAAATGTGAAAATCAAAATTTGACAAAGTTCTGCATGTTGGGGTACATGTTCCAAAAATGTGGCCTTAATTTACGGAGGTAGTCCAGTAAATTGGCCACATTTATGGGGCTATGACCTCCCCATGCCTTTATTCACGTGTGCCCCTGAGCCATTGCGCAATCACGATTTTCAAGCAAGATGGCGGTATTCGTGAAACGACTATACGGCTTATTCTAAATCGACCGAATCGGCATCATTCATAATTATTGGCAAAATTAGTTTCAAACAAGGTTCACTTCTACACTCACCATGTTGGCGGACCCTTAATTCGTCAAATGATTGTAATTTTATGACTCATAAAAGTTATTTACGGCGTAAAATCACCCAAATTCGAAGATGAAACATGTCGATTTCCAGTACGGGCGAAAAATTAAAATGGCTGGCCGAATGAAAAGTCGGCCGGTACCCGTACGCGGGGATGCACACAAATGCCGATAGGTTGATGTGTACCAGGGAAACACGTGTCGCAACTTGACAAATTCAAAGCAAATTCGGCGCGCGCAGCGCTTGTAGCGGGTAGTGCTAGTGGTACTCAACCTTGCTCGTATTCCAAAACAGCTTGTCATACTGACAACATCATAATGAAAAACTATGCAGATTTATTTATAATATCTGTTATCATTTGACAGGCACACGAGGTATTTTTTTTTCAAATCATGGATCAGTTTCCATCTGGCCTAGTTTCGTCGATTCAGCTTCATAGGCGGATCCAGGGGGGGGGGGGGGGGGTCTACGGGGGCCGGCCATGTCCCTCCAAAAGGAACCCAATTTCGGTTTCTTTTTGTGACGTTGCAAAAGGGCAGCTACTTGCATATAACACCCACACAAAACCGAAATTTTGTTGAAACAATACTTTAATCAAATTGTGTTTATTGATCTTTGTCACAATATATATTTTATATATGAGGGCGCTATTCATATTTTTTTTGGGGGGGGGGGGGCAGGGTAAAGCCGCATACTTGAAAATAAGCGCGGATCACAAGCAGGGCTTTGGGCGTTATATTTTGATGTTACAAATTAACTTCCGTTTCATTCAAACACAAGTTTACAGATTATAAATGTATTTTCATAATGATATTAATTTCTAGCATGGTAAACCTTGTGATATTAACATAGTGGATAAGTACCATCCGCAATCCGGGCCACGCCACCATAACATCGGCTAATTATCACATGCATGCATTCTGTTCGCGGCTTCGATATCTTTTAATTCTTACCGTCAATTAAACAAAATTGATACTTTTTGCTTTAATAACTTGATCAGTTATTCAGTAGCAGATGGCGCAGATTATCGTTTGATCTCGAGTTTCAATGTCCATTGACCAGCAAAATCATGAAACAAGCTCTTGCCTATAGGCCGGATCCAGAACACAATTTTTGGGGAGGGCCATTTTTTTTCCTCCAAAAAAGTGGGCCCAAAAATTGTCCGCTCAAATTTAATATGAAAATGTATTGGTGCATGGTGGCGCAGTTTTAATGCCTGTGCCCTGGCCTTCGAGAATCTCATTTTCTTAGGCCGACCGTACCGACCGACCGACACACCGACACTCGAGTGACCAAAAAAAAAAAGAATAAACAAAACAATTCGTATCGAAAGAGGGCGCTGTTGCACGCACAATCGGTCGTCTGGTCGAACTCTACAGCATGGCAAATTTGGTTAGTAGTAAATTATCAATTTAAAAAAGTACGTTTGCATAATTTCTGGTATAAATGTTATAAAAAATACGCCTCCGCGTTTTTTCTTCAAGAAATGGACATATTTGTTGGCACCAAATGCAAATATATATCAAATTTTCGGACTAGAAATTTCGAGTCCCAATTTCCGGACAAGTCAAGAGTATGGCAATGCACGCTACGTGCACACGATCTCTTTTTATGGAATGGTTTTAATTTAAAAGCCGCTTTTTGTGTCAAGTGAGAGGATAAGGAATGATTCCCAAATCTGGTCATCATTATTCACAATCACACTAATTTGTCCCTTGAGTGGTTTATCAATTAGAAATGTCCGAAAAACTTAAAAAAGCCAAATTTACTAATGGCTTTTACTTAAAGGGAATATACATCATTTGCTTTTGCTGTTATTTTCAGAAATGGATGGAATTGGGGGGTTGGAAATATATAGCAAATATAGTTACACTGACTTTTTTGAGGTTTTGGGTTCGAAAATGATATAAAAACCAAGAAAAACAATCATTTTCCTGTAGTCTGGTTCCCTGACTCCATATATAAGAAGAAACAGCAGTTTACATACATTGGGGAATTGTAAGGTCAGGGAACCAGTCTAGCTGTCGTGTACCCGTTCATAAGTGCGATGGTCAATTGGGGCCAGTATTTGAAAAAAAGTCATTTTTTTTCCAACGCTGGTCGGCCGATCAGCGTTGGAAATTGATACAAAAATACCACTTTTCTTGAAAATGACAGAATACTAGGTGCCATGATTTTACAGGATGCTTTACACTTTCATTCACTAACAGTCCAGCAAGGTATTTCAAAATGATTTGGTAGTTTTATTTTTTGATGTTTGCAAATGTTGTATTTTCCCTTTAAGCAATAGTAATAGTATGAGCATGACTAGTAGCAGAGAAAATCGAACTTGAGTTGAAGTGTTTATGTGGGCTTATAGTAGGCCTATAGGCCTACTGCCATTTGAACTTTCAAAATCACTAATCAGATGAGCGATAAGGAAATGGGCCAACTGAGATAGGCCTAGTCTGAGTAAAACTAGCATGAGTACTGGTTAGGACTCAATGAATCAACTTTTTAAACATTTGGACATGACTTGGACATTGTCTGGCGAGTAGAGTCCTAGGTCATTCCTTTATTGCGTGTACCATTAATAAAATTCCAATCATTTTCATCAGTTGCACTCATTAGTACCCCCATGCCCCAATCAAAATCTTCAGTTTTTACCCCCAAAACAGTCCTGAAACTGCCTTATGCGTCCTTGTAGTTGCTGTAGGAATTGAAAATACAAATGGTGGTAGTTAGGTTCATGTAGGGTTAGCCTTAAAAAGGAAAAGAGAAATTTCACCTTCAATTGGGAAACTGATCCTTGTCATGCTGGAGGGCGCCATTTTCGATGTTGTTCGATGTTGTTGTATGATTCCAACTGAAGACATAACAATGCCCTGACATTGCGTACGCTGGCAACTGTTTCTGAACAAAAGAAAACAAATATTAAAGGTATTTTGCTGTTAGTTTAATGCTGTTATTCTAATGGGTAAGTCACCCCCTCCCCCATGCTCGTTCGACAAATACTGTGAAAATATGTGACATAACATGTGACGAATGTTGACAAGGCAGACTCATATGTTAGGCTACCTACATTGTATTTTTGCATCACTTAAGTTCTAAACACCAGGATGGGCAAATGCATAATTTATGCTCACCACAAATGACATTTATTCATCCCAGAAAATGGAAGCTTCTGCATGAATTCAAATGAAAAAAAAAATGTAATTTAAGATGTTGACTAAGTAAATGTTCATTTTTTTCCCAGCTGTGATTCTACACAACAATTTCTGGTAAAAAGGAGGAAGAGCAGCCAATCAAAATGAGATTTTCTTTCAAGGTATGTGTTCATGTGTAAAGTGTATGTGACATGCATTGACAGTGCAAGACTCCTACAGTACAAAAGTACATTTTAAATGATTAAATAAGGATTCTAATTTATGATCAGAAACCACTGGTACCTCACACGCTTAGACTTATTCCCATTTAGTATGTGTTCATTAACCTGTCAAATCCAACGGTTTGATAATAATTTTCTAACCCAACCTTATTTTACCTTTTAGTTTTCCAATCTGCTTGGAGCAGTGTATCGTCATGGCAACCTAAACTTCAGCTCTGATGGGAATTGCATCATCAGTCCCGTGGGCAACAGGATCACCAAGTTTGACCTCAAAAAGTAAACAACTGTTTTTCTTTGGAATTATTCATTACAAGCTAAACCCATGAACAATACAACAAGGGGAAGATTAGCATGCATTGTACATTGCTACATTAGAACATGCCATTAAACCTCACCTTTGTGAACCTTACTGTCTATTTGAGAGTGAATTTTTTAATATTTGGTTGTCAGTCCCTATTTGATGGTGGGACCGTGGGAATTTTAATTACTCAGAATTAATTTTCTTGCGTTCCCCTCCACATTTTTCATCTTTGCCTTATTGATTGTTAACCTGATATTGTGATGGAATTCCTTTGTTCACTTCCAGAAAGAAAAGCATTTTTGACAATAAGCTTACATGTACATTGTTTATTTTAGCAACAAGTCTGAGACCTTCCCTATTGAAGCACGGATGAACATAAGCTGTGTGGCTTTATCCCCGGATGGCTCCACCTGCATCATTGTTGATCAAGGTAAAAATTAAGTCTGTAAGAAAATAACTTACAGTTGTAGTTAAGGTTCTGTGATAATGCTCACTGAAGATTGTTTTTCTTACAGTGAACATGCTCTTTGAGTCCAAGTAGTACTTGCTATATGAATAGTCTCTATCGAAAGCTTTTCTCTGAACGTTGTCTGAGAATTACAAAAAAAACCTCAATTAGTTGATGATGTAGCAATTCATGTTGCCAAGCTGACTGTGAGCCATGCCCTCGGCAGGACAACATCTTTAAGTAATATTTATTAGGTATTAACGCCTTTTCTCTTTAGGAAATGATGTTGTTTATAATAGGATTGCATGTATTTTCTCTTTCCCAGAGGGCGCCACAATGTTGTGCAGTCTTATCAGCAAGACAGTATTACATCATCTACACTTCCATCGACCAGTTACTGCAGTCAAATACAGCCCCGATGGAAAGTATGAATCAATCTTACATATTAAACACATTTAAGTAAATGGTGAACAAATATTGATTAACTGACATTAAATGCCATTTATTGGTCAATTTCCATTTATATGTCAATCTCCATAAAAGTTGTTGTTTACGTCTTATTACTCGCAAGCTGGACACTCCATTATATAGCTAGAGATGAGTTTCAAACAATAGAAAGTAAACTTGTTGAACTTTGTACTGAAAGTTTTGATTTTTTGACTGAAAAGGTATTTATGAATTATCTTGGAATTATCTGGAGTGCTGATAATTACCTCAGCTTCGCTTCGGGTAATTATCAGCATTGCAGACTCCAACCAGTCTCCCAAGCACATATAAACATGTATTGGCTAGATCTTTCTTTGCAAACACTACTGGATGTAATTAAATCCAACCATCTTGACATCAAATCAGAATTTAAAAGATGGCAAAGTATTGTTGGTCACATATTAAAGCGCCTCTAGATATGTGCCGCTAGGGATTTTGAAGGGAAAAAAAGTTCAGCGTTTTCCATTGAGAGATTATTTGCCCTGACTTTTCAATAGGAAAATTGCATTGACCAAGGAGACACTTGTGCAGGTATACCATGCACCAGGCAGCACCAGAGAATTCAACCCATTGTTGTTACATCGGACGTACTACGGAGCATATGATGATACAACATGTATTGATTGGTCTTCAGATTCCAGGTATGCATGCTCATATTACAACGTTTTCTTAAAACATTAACATTTGTAATGTCCACCCCTTCACTGCTGTAATCAATACACAGTGTATTCACAGTGTTGTCTGACGGCTTGTGAGAACAATTATACAAAGTTATGCAACTATCAAATGGTTTTGCTAAGTGCATAACTGCTTGTGTTCGTGCCAAAATGTTCATATTATGTATCTATCGACAATATATAATAATACTGTGCAACGAGTTGGTCATTTTTTGATAAGAATGTAAGGTAGCACTTTGTGACCTACGCACAAGAGCCAAGCACAGTTCCAAAACTAGCAACTTATTCATGGCCAATTTGCAACTGAATCTGCACTAAACCCCAGCATCTTGAGAAGTTTGGGCATGTTTGGTGCTCACATTTAGGTGTCTCCTGTTAACAGTATTAATTTCAATTTTCACTGCTGAGAAGGCACTTCCAAATGTCACTTTTTAAAGTTTAATCTGATTTATTTTCAACCTTGTGACAGGGTTTTTGCTGTAGGTTCTAAGGATATGCACACTCGTGTCTTTGCTACATCAGACATGGAACAGTTGGTTATCTACACTCTAGGAGGTCATAAAGACTGCGTTGTTTCTGTCTTCTTTGAAGAAAACTCACTGGATGTATCCTTATGTAATACTAACTCACTCTGTAAGTTGGCTTGAATCCTTCTTGAATTATTAAACACCCAACACCTCATGGTATCAATGGCCTTTCCTTAGCACTTAAGGAATATGGTGGCAGAAGTTCCATGTTAAGTAAAGGAGCATCTCAAAAGTCCTGGATGTTCATGGTTCAGTGGAACATTCCCGTTTGAATACCAGACAACCCAAATCCTTCAAAACCAGTGATCGGCCATGAGCCAAATCTCTATCAGGGCTAGAAGTTCAGGTTTGTCTTACTTTACTAGGGAAACAGCAGGACGACACCGTCATTTTGTTTCCCTTTATTTCTAATTATGTGCAAATGATGTGGCGTGCACAGGGTAAATATCAATTAACATGTTCAAAAACTACTTATAACTGAGAAATGAAGTTGCCACTTAGAAGTTAAGACGAGATTGCACGTTACAGGCTTTGGCCCACGCCTTTAAAACTTACCCTCAAGTGACGCATATTTTGCAAAATCGGTTGGATTCAAAGGACACTTTCCATGTCTTTGAAGCGTTGAGATGATTTCTTGTAAAGGCTCAATGAAGGAATATAAGAACTGTTTTATCTATTAATTCTTAACGTCTTCATATCAGTTGTATAGCATCAGTCGTAAAGGAGAACTTGTGATCTGGGAATGTGATACGGACTTGAAGGATCTACGACCTTTGGATTCATCAGCGAGTAACCATAGTAACAAAGCAGAAAGATCACTGTCTGCTGAACAAAGAACAAAAGAGAATGAATCGGTTGATCGGAACAAGGCACTCTACAAGAAGATAGCCAGGTACATTGTGTGATTATATACACAGTAAAGTAAAGAAGTGCACTATGCAAATGTCTTGTCTAAAGCTTTTGTCTTGGTCTATCATAAGTATATGAAAATAATGCTTAAAAAATAGAAACTGCCAAAGCTCTGTACAACACATTTGTACATGCATGACATAAGTGAAACTGTGTACTGCTGTCTAGTTGACTGCTTTGCATATATTCCATTATTATATATATTTCATATTGCAGACACTACCTCAACAAGGAGGGGGACTTCACACAGTTGACATGTGCTGATTTCCACAAGAAGAATCACATGTTAGTGACAGGCTTTGAATCGGGGACCTTTCATCTTCATGAGCTACCTGACTTTAATCTCATCCATTCACTCAGGTATGTTGGTTAAGTCAGAATGCCCATTTGGGATTGAAATTCAAGTGTTAAATATGTTATACAGTGTTCAATTTAAGATGGAATTTTGCTGTTATATGCCATTCACCTGAACAGCCCAAAATCCTTCTGTATGCAATACATGTATGTTGTTCACTTTCCGTTGTTGATGCCTATATTTTATTTTGACTGTGAACAAGAGCAAGATCCATGGACACACCCTTCTCCCTCCCCCCTTTAAGGTTTTTTTTAAGTGTTAATGTCAAACCCTAAGTTAAGTTTGACAGCATAACATATTTGCTGTTTATTGTGAAAAAGTTAAATATAGCACACTTTTGCCCACAATTTGTACCCATTAATCCTTGTATGTGGAATAGCTTGAGGGATGTTTGGTTGTGAACAGTTCTCTATTCTCAGCCAGTCATAGTCCAAGCTGAGTCTCATCCACTCTATGCAGTTGTCCATCCATGTCTTTGCCATATCTGTTTCTCTGCAAAACCTACTTCCTCCCTACAATGTAGGCTACCTTTCCATCTGATCAAATGCTCAAACCTAAATGGTTTCAGGTGTATTTTATTTATTTGCTTGTCTTCCCAGTATATCCAACCAGTGCATAGCAGCAGTGAGTTTTAATCACCCAGGGGATTGGATTGGGTTTGGTTGCTCAGGACTTGGACAGTTACTAGTCTGGGAATGGCAGAGTGAATGCTACGTCTTGAAGCAACAAGGTCATCATAACAACATGAATTGTTTGGACTTCTCACCTGATGGTCAGCTGATTGTAACAGGTGGACAAGATGGAAAGGTGAGATTGAATTGAGATGAAATCAACTGTCTCTAGGAAGTTTTCTTGTCTTGGTTTCTCTACCATTCAAGGGATCATCTGGGAAGATTTGTCTCTTTCCTTGGATTAAATGTCTTTTGCATGCAGTAGGAAACCAAGAGGTCGTTCAGACATTGTTTGAAATTCCCTTAACCAGTTCGTGCCAGGATTATTTTGACATAGACTAGACCCAGGTGCAGGATTGTTTTCATGAACCTTGTTGCCAGACGGGCTTTAGGCTGTCATCTGCGGGTAGCACACCCTGATATTTCTTGCGTCGCTCACTGTGAGCGGGTCACAGACACATATTTCTGGCCTTGTTCGTCATCATGTTTGCCGCATGCCGCAAGGGCCAGCCGGCCCTGGCTACGATGTCAACAACGGTGACACGTCACGATGGCGAGAGGTTCAGACTATGTAGCGAACTGGTAAACAAAATGGATGAAGTAAAGGCTCTATTAGCATGCGGTTTTGGCTGAGGCAGGAGTTCTGGACGACCTTAGATACTGAGACAAACCACTTCGAGTTGAACTTGCTGTATTTAAAATGATATCTGAATGCTCAGTAGTTTTATCTTTGCAACCAGCTTCCCGCTGTGAGCAACTGCTTTAACTTTTACCGTTTTTGCTCAAATAACATGGTCTGAAGTTTGCTGACAACTTTAAACCATGAAGTTCTACGTGTTTCAGCTTGCTCACACTTCTATATCAGTACACAAAAGTTGCCTTTGGCTGTGAAGAACCTCATATATTTTGTTCAGTCTCAAAACTACATGTATGTAGTGCAAGTTTGGTAATAATCTGTACGGTTCAACAAGTACCTCAGTTGATATTGCTTGTGGCTTTTCAGGGCTACATATGTTTTGCGTAATGTCTAAAACTCAATGGGGCAGTTTTCATGGTTTGACAAGAATCCTGTTTCTTTTTTCATGAAATCAAGGTGAAGGTATGGAATAGCAGCAGTGGTCTATGCTTTGTGACATTCAGTGAACATACTGCATCAATCTCAGGAATTACATTCAGTGGTAAAGCAGGCAAGGTGGTGGTATCCTCATCACTTGATGGTACAGTCAGAGCGTTTGATTTACACAGGTAAGTCCTACATTCTTGCTCTTTGACAGTCCATTTTTATCAAGTAAAATAGCCTCCTTCTTAACTTAGCTTAAAGGTAGAGTACATCATTTGTCATTTGAATATTTTTTTCATTTCAAGCAACAAAAGTGCTCAAAATCTAAGGAAGGATGCTGAACAGCTAACTTGATGAAGTCTTAGCTCAATGAAACAATTTTTTAGGATCTCACTTTCAATTCAAAAGTTACATAGTCATGTTTTGAATTGCGCCTAAAATTATATTCCAGATGTTCTCATTCAGCCGATTGCGATGCGATGTTACGCACAGAACCAACGAATAATAGCAACCCCGCATGCGTGTGCGTCTTGTTGATGCTAGTGTACTCTTATTCACTGATTCGCCAAATTTCAAAGAAACAGTACTAACGGAAATTTTTTTTAAAAATGTGTCACTTGACGCATCTTTGGAAAAGACCGTTTATTGTTTTCTTCAAAATACCAGCATGCCAGAAGGAATAACTTCACACGGAATTAAGTCCCATTACTCTCTTTATAGCAAGTATGCTTTTCAACAATAATTTTGTCACTAACTTTTTGGATTTACTCTACCCTTAAATCATTGTCTGCTATAATATTCCAATTTATAGAGTAGGATTGGGTGTAAAGTCAAACTTGTATACAGAATGAACTGCAATCATATTACCGACATTTTTGAATTATCATCAGTGGATCATTGTGTTACTGTTTTAAGAATAACAAATCTGATTGCTTATGATTGTATACATTATTTGTTTTCCTGATTACTTTATTCCAGATACCGTAATTTCCGCACCTTTACATCTCCTCATCCTGCTCAGTTTGTTTGTCTGGCTGTTGACTCCAATGGTCAATTAGTGTCTGCAGGAGCTCAGGATAGCTTTGAAATCTTTGTCTGGTCCATGCAAACTGGACGTTTACTAGAGGTAAGAGCAGATCCTATGTCATGTGAATGCAACAGTGAAGTGAAATTTATGAGGTTAACAACTGAAGTGTCTGGTGATGTTCATCGTAACCCTAAACAATTCAATCCACACTGAAATTTGCATTAAGTATGAACCCTTCTCTGGGGATCTTAGCATCAAACCATTTATAAGAAACAACAAGGCAGTTGCAAACAGCATTTCAACTGGAATGATAAAAGTTATCAAATGTAAAATGAAATATCAAATGAATCCTATTCTGGAACGTATGTTTTGCAACTTAAGTTTTAAGTTTTGCAACTTGTGATGGTTTGCAACTTGTGAGGTTGTGTGCGAAATCATCGGGCTTCCATATATCATGTGACCATCCCACTGGGTCATCAGTTGCCTGACGAAGTCCAATGGCTTGGGACGCAGCATCAAAGTTGCAAAAGTTAACTTCCAGAAAAAGATTTGTTTGATATTTTATCTTATACTGCTGGATGTCTGAGAACATGCATCATGAACTGTAAAAGTTTGAGGGTTGTGGCATTCTGATCCTAGCAAACTCTACTTATTTTGTGAAAGATTCCTCCAGGGTTGAAACATCAGTCCCTTCTTAAGTGAACATATTACCACACTTCTTCCTCGTCTTGTCTCTCAGGTTCTTGCTGGCCATGAAGGACCAGTATCCAGCCTCAGCTTCAGCTCAGTGGCAGACATATTGGCTAGTGCATCATGGGATAAGACAGTCAAACTCTGGAATATTTACGAGCACAAAGGTGCAAGGGAGACTCTACAGGTCTTGACTGATGGTAGGCTTAGTTTGTTATTGGTAGTCATTTCATCTTTTGTTTATTTTGTGTTATTGGCATGTGACTTATAAAAGTTATATGGTGGAGTTTTGTGTGTGTCAGCAAGATGTTAAGTGTAAAATGTGATTTTGCATAAACTGGGTCATTGTCCTCCAAGAGTTATTATAACTACGCAACAAGTAAAAAAAAGATATTTTAATGGCAAATTACAAAGTACAATGGGAACAGGCAAGGAGAAATGCCCCACTTTGGACCCTAAATTTATAGAATGACATGTATTGCTCAATTGAAGCATTACCATTTAGGCAAGTTTCAATATTTTCCAAACTCGTACTAATGAATGAAGGGTTAAAGAACCATTCCTTTAGTTTCGAAATTTGTTCACCTGTTTTTTTTTCTGCAAACCTTTCATTCGTTAGTATCTCCACCATGCAAAGCCTCAAATGTAATATTTTAGGCTTTGCATGGTGGAGTATCAGTATCGTTTTGGTTTGCGGTAACACCACGTGTTACCGCAAACCGAAACGATAAAGCCATCAATGTTATTCAAACTGTTACTGTTTTGACATTGTAACAGGTCTAGCCATAGCCTTTAGTCCTGATGGTCAGCAGTTAGCCGTAGCCACATTAGATGGTCAGATCACATTCTGGAATGTTCAAACAGCCACTCAGACAGGATCTATTGAAGGCAAGACGGATCTTGGAGGAGGGAGGAGAGAAGGTGATATGGTTACAGCTAAGACATCAGCTGCTGCTAAGTAAGACATTCATCTTGACTCTACTATTCATAAGATGGAATCTACTATTGTAATCTACTACTGGATACAGTGCCTGAGCAACCGTATCAGGAGATCTGGTATTGAGTAGCTGAAAGAAATATGGAATTTTTCGTTCACTGTTGACAATGTAAATCTTCTAGGTTTACAAGTATGTATGAAGCAAACTATCCTTCAATGTCAGTACTCTTTTACTCTTCGTTATTGGTATGAAGCTTTGTGTGGAGCTTTGGAGCCATTATTGACACTGATGTCCAAGTTATGTACCGAGGGTGTGCCTTTGTTAAACTTAATTATTGTTGGATTATAATAGATTTGGGAGTGCTTCTTGCAAAAATTAAGAATAAGATGTTTTTTAATTTGTTTGCAGATCCTTCAACACTTTGTGCTATTCAGCAGATGGGACGTGTATTCTTGCAGCTGGTAAATCGAAGCATGTTTGCATCTATAACATACAAGAGCAGATGTTAGTCAAGAGATTTGAAGTGTCATGTAATCTCTCATTGGATGCTGTGGAGGTAGGATAACATGTGTATTGGCTGTGTGTGATAGCACATGGTGATAGTTCACAAGAGCACTGTGCACATTGGAGGATGCATGAACTACTTATTCTGTATATGTACAAACTGGATATGTCTTCCCGTCAGCAGCAATGTGTTTGTGTATCTCTTTAGAACATATATGATCTTTTGCATTCATGCATTTGGTCTGTTTCCAATAATTATAGCCACTCAAAATGCCAGGAAGAATGTTCCAAACCCGACCAGTTGAATTTTCACCAAAGTGGATATTACATTTTTTGAGAAAACAATGAAAAACCATGCACAATATTTGTTCACAGAACACAATTTTATCAACTGCAGTCATTGTTCCAAAAGTAGTCGATTCAGTGATTGTTGAAAATCACCCAGACTTCTTGATTATTTTGAAATGACGGCAAACCTGACAGAATAATTTCACGATGTAGTTAGTACCAGTTTGATCTTTAATCCTTGAAAACATCTTTTTGATAATTACTTGGGATAAATGCAAATAATCCTATATGCCCGTATATAGTTAAACATTGACTGACTTTGAAGTTATATATATTTGAAACAATCCACATCAAAAAGTAAACAAGGAGAGTTTCAGTCTTCAAAAATAAAAAGTAAAAATCTGCCCCGCCCCCTCTGCTTAAAGCCTGAGTGTAAAATTGCATCAATGAGGGCAGCAAACAGAAAAGGCCTGTTTGCTTACGTCATGGTACAGCTCCAGCACTCCTACATGTACAAAACTCAAAGCTGCTTGGCCTGTATTGGTTCTGCATAGCATTAAGTATACATGTACAGTACATGATGCATGGATGCTTCTGTTGTGGCTGAATTCTCAAGCTTCCCAATATTTTATTCATTCTGCTAGACAGAAGATTTTCGTAAAATCTCTACATCTTACCTCCTTTGTTAAATCTTCTTAACTAGACGCGCTGTCAACAATAGGCCTACATTGTTTCAATTCATGATCAAAATTGAAATATGTGAAATGCATTCATTATGCATATGTAGAAGTGTGGCACAACACAGTCGTTTGATTGTAGAGCCGTACCTTGATGGCTTTCGTTTTCCTTCTGGTTTTTAGCAGAGTTTTTTTACTTGTATATGTTTTATGGCTGAAACCCCTTATTTAATTTTCGATGTTGTGGATTGTTTCAAATATATGTAATCTTGAATATTAGTCAAAGTTTGCCACATTAATGTGGTTAATCTTTAACTCTCCTTGTAACTGAGTGAGAGGGTACTTGCTTTGGAGTCTATTGGCTGTGTGCATGAACCAATGAGGGCAGTATTGCACCTAACAACGGCAACTGGAGGGTATGAGATTGTAATGGTCTACTTTAATAAGCTGTCATCTGCTTACCTGTAGGTAGCAGTGACATTGCAGCAATGAATGATGTTAAGTGGACTGGTTCCTGGACCCTCATGGTATATTCTACACTGTCTTAGGAGGCACTAGAAACCTGGGTAGAAATGAAAGCACTTACCTCTCTAGTACGTGTAAATTGAGAGGAAGTTTTAATCTCTTACTATTTTGTGACAATGAGGAATACATACCGCTACCAGTATGATTTGAAGTTTCTCAATTCTTCTTGATTTTGGCAGGAAATGTTAAATCGTCGTAAGATGACAGAGTTTGGAAACATTTCTCTGATTGAGGAAGATGGTGATAGTTCTCAAGCAATCAGTCTCCCTGGTGTTACTAAGGGAGACATGAGTTCAAGATTCTTCAAGCCAGAAGTCAACGTATCGGGGGTTCAATTCTCACCAACAGGTATCCACACTTCAAACTTTTGATACTCTTGATAGTTTTGTATAAATGCTTTTTGACCACCCACAAGAACTATGTGTATGGGAAACATTGCACACACCCTCTGGACAGTGCAACACGCAGGCCAATTTTATTTGGAATGTGCACCATCTTCAAACGTTTCAGCTGATGGGTACATGCATGTGGTACAAAACACTTTCATCAATTGTTGATCCATTAGGTACAGTTTCAGAGATATCCTGTTGTTAAAATGAACTGAAAGCAACACAAATGAATATATGTATTTCGATTTGAATTCTAAAATCTATAACTGCAAACGTCATCCTGATGTTTCGTTCTGTGTATCACACAGAAAACATCATTTATTAGCAGGTTGGGATGCTTAAACTTTCAGTTGTTAAATATGTGTAAGGAAAGCCCCATTGCTAAGCAGTTAATTATAGTTCTAACAAAATGAGGAATTGTGGATTTTGACAGGTCGTCAGTTTGCTGCAACTTCCACTGAAGGTTTATTACTCTACTCATTGGACAATGCCTTGACCTTCGACCCCTTTGATTTGACGCTTGAGATAACCCCCAGCATGGTACGTGATACCTTACATCGTAAGGAATGGAGTAACGCCCTTATGCTGAGCTTCCGAATCAATGAAGCCAAGCTGATTCAGGAAGTGGTAGAGTCGATTCCATTTGAACAAGGTAAGATTTCAGGGAATTATTATCAACTTAACCTTAACTCCCTATGGTGATTTCCCAAGGAACCTTCCTCGTTGCAAATCCCAACACCATATGGTAAACTGTGCACATTAACAGTTGGACTCTGTTTATATGTGGTATGCCTATTCCCGTGTAAAGCACAGTCAGTTTACTAGTGCAGTACTCATCCTAACATATTCCAACAAACCCTGGTGTTGGAGTTTGGCTGGTTGGGGATCGTTAGGGTTCATGTCTCCACATCAAGTCCCATAGAGCCAGACTTATTATATCAGATCCTTAGATGATTCTCTCAATGGAAGCACTCAAGGAAGAAGCCATCTATCATGTTAATGAAATCAAGGACTCTTCCAGAGTCCACAAGCACTGTAGAGCAGAAGCCTGAAGAAACCTAGAGGGAAAAGAAAAGCCATTGAAGAAATGAAAGAATGAAACAATTAGACTTTAAAATGACCACATAATGGTCATCAAGTGATTTTCATGAAGGATGACTCACTGCAATGTCCTTGTCTCTGTATTGATGTGTGCTGTGATGTGTTGCATGAGATATTTCAATGTAACTTGAACCTGTCTATGTCATGCATAAAACATTGCTTTCATCATTCCCAATTAATTGGGATTGGCCTTGATTACTCAAGGGTATACATCCAGGTTAATCAGCCAAACTACTGGTCTCATGTATCATTCAAGCAATAAGGAGTGCACATTATCCTGACAGCTTTCACCTTCACCATCATACACCTGTCAATTTCTTTCAAAATTTAAAGGAAATTCAAAGGAATCTGTAAGCACATTCATTCTATCATATGAAGCTTCAATTTGTACCTAATTAAAAGATCGTAAAGTAATTTAGTATTCTTTTAGGGCATTATTGGGGGGGGGGGGGTTGAAAAATATGTATATATATAGTAATGCATTCTTCCAGTTTGTCTCTTAAATTGAAATCCTTTTATCTCTTCAAATAAATGTCTGTTCTCTCAATAATAGAGTGTATTAATCTTTGATGTGCCTCCAGGCTAGCTACATGTACATGTACATGTATCCTGAATTCATTTAAATTTGACATGCGTGATCTCATTAGCTGCTTCTATTGTATGCCCCCCTGGCTGTCAATCATGAACAGGTGTATGGAAGTCATTGTGAAATTGTAATAGCTGGATGGCAGATGTCTTTGACAGTTGGGTACGACAGAAACATTTATGTAAGACTTGGGATCACTTCCCTGAAGTGGTTTTATTCTGTGCTGGGGAAAACGTCTGTTTACAAAAACATTCTGAGTTGTATACTTATTCTGAGTTGTATGTATACATTCGGCGTTGTAAACATAACAGTAATTCTGGTGATGGATTTAAACAAATCTGCAGCTGTTGAGCTGCTTTCTTATGTTCTTTTAATGTTTGTCTTCATCTTCATCGATATGCTTCTTCATACATAGCACTGGATACAACGTGCTGCTATAGCTATAGTACTTGTGGATCAGATTAATTTGGATGATTAGTCATTGTTTAGAAACGATGTTGGAGAAAAAGTTTCAAAGCTTTCACTAGTGGGACTACTGACCCATGTTATCTTTTTGCAGTATTTTCCTCCTTTTCTAACTGTACTATGAATCTTGATGTTCATTAAAATGAGTTGTTATTAACCCCCACTACTCCCAAAGTGGGTCCCCCCCCCCCTCCTGGCCATCTTTCAATACAGCAGGTCAGAGGAGGCATTTCAGACAGAGGGTCTTAATCCTGACAATCTTCATCCCTCTTCAATCTTCAACTACAGACCTACACTGTTTATGGACATTTACATATACAGGACATAAATACCTATATTATAGAAAGTATGGGGACAATATTAATCTCTTTAAGAAAGATGAATTATGGGCCAGTGACGCATACACTGGCAAGATGATACTGCGTTATAGTCCAGCAGCCTGGAGTGACAACATTCACAAGATTATGAAATACAAAACGTCTTATATTGCCAAGCTGAGGATTGAATGTCTTAAGGCTGCAGGTGATGATGAAATCCAGTCTATGGATTCAACTTGCTTCAGGTTTTCTTGATGCAGTCAAAGACTTCACTAAATCTCCTGCCATTGGCTGCACCTGTCTGAGAACACCAAGTGAAGGGTGCAGGACCTTTACCATAACACAAGTATTTATTCTGCTTTCCGTACTAGTTCACTCACAATGTAAAACTCCTGTGTTAATAAGATGGACAATTCAGGCCAACAGAGGGCTCATTAGTTTAGACCAGAATGAGGATTGAGTGCTTTCAGTCTATTGTATTTCTTGTACTTAAATACTTAGGAGACAGCACTCCTGTAATCACAGAGTTGCACAATTTGCTTTGGCTACATTGGCCTTTCTCAGCGAGGGATGTTTTGTATCACGTTTTGATAACGCCATGGAGCAAGCTTCATGATCCACCATACATGTACCAGCTGATGACACCTGTCATTTCTATACATTTCAAAATTTAAAAAAAATGTGCCCCTTTTTATTTTGTTGGCTCTTTGAAAGAAAGCAGAATATTTTCGCTGCTGCTGTTGAAGAATAAAAATTTCAATTAGGAAAATTGTCAAGAATTTTCATCTGATACACACGTCAGTACGCATAATTAACAAGTCTTTTTATTCTTCAGCCTGCAACAGAAGATCTTTGTAAAATGCCAAGATCATCAAGTGAAAGTATCTTTGTACAGTCTAGCATCAGTTTTCTTCCTTATTTGAAAGTCTTTCAAAAACACCACAAAAAAAAGACAGTCCACACTCATTGGAGGGTTCATAATTTTGAATCTGTTCGTCTTATGATGACCTCATTTATATAGACTTTTGGGGAATACCCCGTTTGCTACTAAAGACTGTAAATCGTCTTAGATTGACAACAGTTTATGAAAATTGATGCAGTTTGAAAAGTTGCAAATTTAAAGATTACGCGAGAAGAAATTGCTAAGCGCAACCACACATGCCCGTAATTGGCCTCTATCGACTGCTAAGTGCCGGAACAAAACACAGGTAATTCAATTCGCATGCTCCCATGCATGCAAGCACTGTGCGATCGGTATTCCCTGCCGTTTATTTCGGGCAGTGTGACATTGTCACGCAACAATTACCACTTGCATACTGTTTAAAATTGCAACTTTTCAAACTGCATCATTTCTTTCACAAACCGTTGTCAGTGTTGGATGATTTACAGTCTTTGGTATCAAATGGGGTATCAATATGTAGCTAACAACATTCCCCAAAGTTCTATATAAATGACGTTATCATAAGACGCTCAGGTTCAAATCTCCAATGAGTGTGGACTTTCTTTTCTTACGGTGTTTATTTCACAATGACAATCTTGAAGCTGTAATTGAAGCCCAGTCCACTCATTGATTAGCATTGCCCACAGTCCATCATGCACTGTATTGATTTTTATGCCGATAGTCATAGGGATGAGAAGACTTGAAGCCACTTGTAGAAACCTAATCACTGTGTAATAGTGAGCTGTTTAGGTTGTGCTGACCTCATGCAGAGGTTTTATCATTGTGGTTAAATACGGAGCTAGCGATGGTGCTATTGACCCGAACAGTTTAGGCCAAAGCACTACTGTACATCAATAACAACTGATTTAGCACTCTAAATCATTGGCACAATCCTCTAATTTGTTTGTTGACCTACTGAGCACTGGCCACTGTAGCGACGTAATTAATGTGTTTTGAAGGGAGGGTTCATTGAAGAGAGTCTGTCTCCGCTGTTGAAGAAGGATTTGAAGAAAAGCGGAGAATATTAAACCAAGGAGGTTTTGTACGTGGCAAGCTTTTAAAAGATGAATAATGATAAACAAAAAGGATGTTCGACAAAGGATGTTGTTAAAGTATGCTTGTGACGTTCTTGTGCGTACAATTTTTGTCTGTTTTTCTGAATAATAAGACAGATCTGATCATTCAGATCACTGGATCCTTTATTCACCCTGGAATTCTAAATCATTTTCATATGTGTACGTGAAACGGTATAAAAACAAGTTCTTTAATTTCATAGCTGGAGGCATCAACTGGTGGGTATTCAAACTAATTATTGACAGCATCCCAGCAGAGATGTAATGAATCCTGAAAGACCAGGTCATTCACATCAAGGGCTTGGATTCAGTGTATTGCTGAGTAGAATTGAGAGTTGAAGCTCTGAAAAATTGTAATGTCAAACAGTTTAATTTTTGGCGCAAATATATTCTACATCACATAAGCGTCATTTTTTGCTTGCACATCGGTTCATTACAATTCTTGAATTGAACACATAGACCTACAAGTCCATGTAGAAGTGGACATGGCTGAAAAGTGGAAATGTTTCAAGTTTATGAACTACACTCATAACAACCTCAAATTTGCCATCAAATCAAAGGGGACAATAAGACCCGGGCCCATGTCATGGCTCTGCTTACATTTAGCAAAAGTCCATGCTCTTAGCAGAAATTCTGTGCTTACGGTAAGCGTATTTCATGGATTAGCGAAGAATCTTGGCATATGCGTATCAGTATGAGTAATTCCGTAACTAAGGATGCCGTGCTTTCCGGTAGTTGCAGAATTTTTCTGCTAGTGCTGTTAGCAAAAAATGGTGGTCATAAGCACTGAATTCCGTGTCCTTTTTTTGGGGGGGGGATGGAGTAACTTTACAACTAACCAAGATTACATGTCGCATTACGACTCACAAAACATGTACATTGTACAAATGCTTTTTCTTACGGCTGTGTTATAAGTCGATGTATCGATCGATTGTACCAAAAATGGGGAATTAATGGCTGCACATGTTGATGAAGGAATCTAAATTGGTGCTACATTGCTTGATATGTAACAAAACTAACAAACGAGTACAAAACAATCAGTGACAAAAGCACAAAAAACAAAAGCATTAATCCCAATGATATTACTGTCCAGATTGCCATTGAAATGTCAGATGCAGAATGTAGTTCTTTTCAGTTGGAATTGAGGAAACAAAGTGCACATGAATCAAT